GAGTACATTGCTTATGCTGCATTTGGATTGTCATCCCTTTTATCCTGTGTTGTATTGTTTGCCAGTGTCTCCGCAAAATCTTTCAGCATCATGAATGAATGAAATGAAAGGCTTTATTTAGGAGTTCGAGCAAGGTTCCTCATCAAAACGTTCCACCACTTTAAGAATCCAACCCTTTTGATTTTCTTTCTTAAGCATCGAGGACGAAGCTTAATCTAAGTAGGGGAGGGCATGCTGTTAAGCTCAATAACTTGTATGGAATACAGTGCTTTTGGTTCCTGATCATCGGTTGCTCATCAGTTAACCATTTTGTAGCCACCACGTTGGTCTTTGATTCTTGGGCCCTACAGCCCTCATAGTGAGTTATCTTATTAGTTTATAAAGAGTACTTCCGCTCCGAACAATACCCTATCGATGGTCATGTTTGAGTTCGTCTACTGGCCTTGGTTCTGAATCTCCCACCTGAATCCTTTTTGAACAGCGGAATTGGTTGTTGGCTTTAATTTGTGAAACAAAACAACAATAAGAAGCAGCAGCGTTAAATTATAAACATGAACTGTAAAATCCATCAGTGCATACACAATTTCTCTAATCCTGCATGCACAATCTGCAGCTTATACAACACAAGATTTGAATCAGTTGAATCAATCCTTTTTTTCTTTTTGACGCAAAGTTTCGACGGAAGAAAGCCCGAAACGATTTCAAGAGGAACTGGCCGTCTTACCTTGAGTGTGCTTGCGATTATTTTAGGGTCACGGACGAGTAATTAAATTCGACGACTGTTACGAATATATTAATTCTGCTATAAAAATAAAACAAGGCTGATCACAACATGGAAAGTCGTTGCCACATTTCTCATGTACTCAGGCTGGAGTAAACTGTTCAACAGAGAAACCATATAGAGTAGACCATGTAGAGTCATTTCCCAGAGAGAATTAACGAGGTATACATGCATGTGTTGGCTGGCCACGCGAGGTTTACAAAGTTAATAAACAATCTGCGCCTCGTAATGTCTGCGTATATGCTTCTAATTTTCCTCCTGACGCTTAGAGAACAACGAAAGTTAGTCAACGTCCTGCGCTTTTACAATGAGAAATGCATAGTTCGCGCTTTGATATTACTGTTTCGTTAGAAGCGAAAGCGTTTCTTCGCCTCGTTTAAAAGCGCGTAATGAGTAGACCATTAAGTGCAATGTCTGTAATGTTGCTGCAGGCGTTTGGAGAACGAGGTACATGCACATGCATGTGTTGCCGGGGGGGGGACTGCAAGGAAAAAAGCACGGGGGTGCTCGTCGTACCTTGTAGGGGTTAAAATAGCGGTTTTGATACTTCTTGGGGTGTTCAGCCGCAAAAGGTCCACAGCGGGAGTTTTTACGGTTCCTTTTAGGGGATTGAGCCGAAAGAAAATGACATGGAATGTTTTGTTTTAAAATTGGTACCTCTTAGGGGTGAAAAAAATTTCAAGCCATGCTCAAAAACAGGATCTTGTAGTGCATACAAGCAATCAAATTTGTCGAATTAACCTACCCATTACTGTTAAGAGACTACTCAAATGCTCCTAAGGCTTTTTTAAAATTCACACTAAAAAAAAAAAACTCTTGAACGCCTTAACGGGTTTATTGCGATAATGACTTGGCTAGGGTTCCCATTGGTAAGCGCTCTTCTGCAATGGAATGCTTCGAGAAAATCATCAAATTCATCTTGATGATCTGGAAGTTAATTCTTCGGTTTTGTTTTCAGACACTTGTTTTTTCTGACTGAAATTAAAATCATCTGAACAAGTAATGTATACGCCTCGTTGACTATTCGCTCATCATGGTCTAATTGTTAAATAGCGTGGTCTCACATGTCAAAATCAGCAATCGAAACGTTTAGTGTGAAGAAACGGTTGGCCAAAAACATTCATGAAGACTAAACTCCTTGTACTAGAGATTTATGCACAGTAAAATTAATCATGCTGGGAGATTGATATAACGGATAAAGATTCGATGTGTTGTACTATCTGGTATCAATGCGCCACAACTGAAGTCGATTTGCGTCACGTGATGTCTATCTAAAGTGCCACTTGAGATTTTCAAGTGCACTTGAGCCAAGTCCTTACTTTAAACTAACTCAGCTGCTAGTCTGTCATCCAATAAACAAACATCGTGAAAACAATATAAACCGCACGATTAGACATGATAACACGAGTGTTGCTAACCCGACAACTCCATGCGCTTGTGCGCGCCATCATATGGGGCCATCTTGGATTTTCTTGTCTTGTTAGTGATGATCGTGTTATCTTTCGCTTCCTGCAAACTAGTATTCTCCCAGACTGTTTTTAAAATACGCTCTACAGCAAATTAAATGATAATCGCTGTTAGTCGCGCCGCAATGTCTAACCCTTGACCCCGGGCACTTGACGTCCTCTACCTGAAAATGACGTCAGTGGTACTATTCCTTTGACAGATTTTGACAGATCGCAGCTGGAGGTCTATTTTTTAAGTCTCGTTTGCATAAACTCCTGTTTTTAGCTCATTCATGCGTAAAGCGCAATGAATGAGGTTTTGTGAGGGATCGGATGAGGAGGGAATTTGTGGACCGTGGACGGAAATAACTTCACATGCTACCCTCTCCCGTAGTAAAAGTCAAAATTTAACCTCGAAGAAGCTCAGATACACATGTGTAAAGGAAAGATATCTTTGTAAAGTCTAAGAAATAAATTAAAATCAAATCACAATTTCCGAACTTCTAAAATTGGCAACTTGGATCGAGAGGCCCAAATGTTCACACCTAAGGGACCCTGCATGGGTTATTTTAACACACGCTACCACGAGGCAGTCATGGCAGCGCCTTCGTATTGGTAAGTTATCATTGCTATATTATTATGCTCTTTCTTTGGAGCTCTTAAACATAAAACACTCACATTAATCATAACGGCAAAGATACTGTAGTCCCACTAAAACATTTTTTGGAGCTCCATTCTCGAGGCTCGCTCGAACAAAAACTGCCTTGCGATCTGCCGAAAATCTACATTTTTTAAATCCGAAACAAAATAAAGTTTATGTAAGTTTATGTATGTACACTACATACCACCAAACAATCTCTTATTGAAAATTGCTTTACATGGCTACCAGTCACATTAGATCAATGCTATCGAGTTTATATCAAGTTTATAGGTTTATAAAGACGAAGTTGATTTGGAAGTCTAAATTAAAATGTTTCAATTGTAATCTGTATATGAAAATCTGTTAGTGAGATGTCAATGAGCACTGTCAATTTTTAGAATGCCATGCGTGTAAACGAAGAGTTTTAAGGGAAAGTATAACTTCACCATCCTCGGTAGGTTGAAGAATTTTCCAAGAAGGACCAAATATTCCTCGTATTCTTTTTTTTTTTTTTCCTGTTTTAGAAGTTTATACTGTGAAGCTAAAATTGAAATCCGCATAAACCGTTAGTTGAACATACAACTGTCAGAACTGGACGATTAGGGTTACCGCTGTCAGTTTGCAGTGGCGAATCTAGGGGGCCCCCCCCCCCCCCTTCCTTATTTTGGGTGAAAAGCGAAAAAAAAGGCAGAAGGAAGAAAAGCCGGCACGCCAAGCAAAAAAACAAAAAAACCGTCTCCACCACCTTAACTCAAGGTCTGGATCCGCCACTGGTTTGTAGAATGCCATGCTGGTAAACAAACAGTTAAGAGAAAATACGCGTGTGTGACTTCATTAGCCTTGGCAAGATCAGGAATTTTGTAACAAGGACAAAATACACCTGTTGTCTTTTTGTGAGCTGTTAGTTGAATTGTAATTTTGCTTTTATTAAAGTTGTTCTGTCCACAAAAAGCTAACTTTTGTTTCTTTAACAAACAACTATGGTAAGGTTAACTCTCCATTAAAAAAGGTTACACTGAAACAAGGATATTACCAGTCCGACCAGAAATCCTAAGAAATTGATAATTGGTTCTAAAAAGTGTTTAAAAAATATAGACTTTTTAAAACTTTTAGCACGTTACGAGAACAATTTCAGCTTTCTACCTTAAGAATACGTTTTACACAGCATTGTTATTTAACCCAGTATCCTATTTTTAGATTTTTGTACACCCTCATATTTGTGACTCTAAGCAACCTATTGCTTTGATAGAAACTTTAGGGAGACTGAGTGCCAGCTTTCGGCGCTAGCATTTCTGGGATGGTTTAGATACTAAACGTAAGCCATGATTGATCAATGGTTTCCAAAGGCAACCATTGACCAATCTTAGCTCACACTGGTTACCCAAACATCTCAGAGATGCTTGTGCCAAAAGCTGACCTTTAATCTTTCCAAAGTTTGTCAATGGGATTGGCAACTATAAGTTAAAAATGATCTGTAAGGTTTTAGTGTTCATGAGAATGGAGCAACAATGTGTGACACCAGATAATACTCATCTTCTTCCCCCACCCCCTACAGAGAGGACTGTCTGACCTCTGCCCCTCCTCCCCCCTGCTTGCCCACCCTCAGGAATTTCTAATCCCCACGAGGAATAAATATTTATTTAGCACACAAGTGCTCAAGAATATCTATTCGAACTTAACTCCTACTATTTCAAACTGTTGCTTACCTTGAGGGTTCGAATTGGTAGGGGTAATCAAATGTTGACAAGTGAAATTAGGAAATAGTTTCACGCGCGTTTGTTTTGTCAAAATTCGTATAATTTCGCGAACCTTTAGGCGAGGGAAATTACTAGAATTTTTACAAAACGCAAGTGAAATTATTCCTTAATTTCACGAATATACCGTTTGATTACCTTTTATGATAAAGTTTCCATATAACACGCGCTCTGATTCAGTACACCGATTCCAGAAAAAAACCGGAAGTTGCACCGAAACGAGGCTT